CCCGGCGGGGTTCAGAAATGGAATTTTCTATTCGGAACATACGTACATACAGACATACATACAGACATACAAACATACAGACATACAAACAGACATTCAGCTTTATATATAAGATTCCGTATTAGTCGAAAATCGAATATTCGGAAGTTTCCACTCGAATAACATTCAATAGTCGAATATTTGAAAATTTCGACTTTCGAGTACTATTCGATAGTCGAATATTCGATTTCAATTTTCGAATAATATTTTATAGTCGACAATTCGAAATTTCGGTTATTGATTATTAGGATAATGCAAGCTATACTTAATTACTCAAAAACCTTACAAAAAATTCTGCTTAGATTGGGTAAGTAATGAAATTCTACAAATATTTGGCTATGCTGTATTGTGGTCGAAAAAGGATAGAAAAGAACTCAGTCGACAAAAAAGGACATCGACTTCAATCTGATACCGATATTTACAGTGTGCTCTTCCTAGACGCTATAAATTGAAATAAAATAAAAACTAAAAAAAAATTCAGGATTAAGAGCTGTTCACTTCAGTCATTTTAATTGTTTATTTTATAATAATGTATTTTCTAGCGTATTTTCTAGTATTTTATGATGATGTATTTTCTAGTGACAGATAAGAAACTCTTCCGCGCTTACCGAAAGACATTCATTAGGCTCCTGGAAATTAGAGCGCTTCAGACTAATAGCGGTCTTGAGTTTTATTCCCATATGCGACACCATTGTTTCCAGGGAGAAAAATGATGTCTACTTTAGCGTGAAAAATAATTTTGATTTAGTACCTATCTTCTACCTATTGCACAGATTTTCCTGCGAAAAAAGCCGTTCAGCGCCTTCCAGAACGATGTCAAAAACGGCACGGTACTTTGAATATTCGTAACTACGGTCGGCGAAGGGCTGGGAAGCTGCAATAAACACTATGTAGAACAGTGACCAGACTCGTCATGAAAAAAGGTTCAGCCATTGTGGAGCAGTGAGCTTGAAAAAATCTGGATGCAACTCTTGCGAACATAGATGCGATCCTAAACACCAAAAACTGGGATTTCTAAGCTTGAAATTTGTAAGTCAGTGGAAAAGCAACGAAACGGCCTGAATTTCATAGGATAGAAAATACGCGGATAGCCTTGTATTACAGTAAAATTGCAACCAATAAGCTTCCATAGCTTCGAAGAAAATTCGATGCGACCCAGATACGACCCCCATTCCCCTTCCTCATTTTTTGCTAACACACATAAAATCATAAGAAAATTTACAGTTTACAAAATAAGACCGATTGGCATAGAGCAGGACTTCTCAAAAGTACGGGTAAATTGTATGGGCCGTACAGAAAGCATTACAAAAGATTTACAAATCATTGATGGACTTTCGACTTTCGCCTGTCTGAGGCTTCAGTGAGGCTATGAAGTCAGGAATACCAAGCTAATCGGTACATTCAGTATCCTTATCACACATACGTTCCTTTGAGAGTGTTCTGAGCTTTTCAAATTTTTGGATTTTATACTTTGGACCAGCAGGTTCAACCCCACCTGCTCACTTCTTCAATCACCAAATTGTACAAAACATTCTATAGATATGCGCCCCAGAGAGGTTCCCATGTGAACCAGCGTGCGTACGTGGTGCGACGCTGCCTTTCGCTCTTTTTGACACGTTTCTCCTGAGATTTCAACGGAAGTGCCCGAGGTTAACACGTTCAAAAGTGCGAAAGGCAGCGAGATAAGTGGTACCTATGGGAACCTTCCTGGGGCGCAGACGATAACTAATACTCAATGGAAGTAGGCGGGGTCGGTGAAGTTTTGAATCGCATTTTTCGGGACTCAGCGCACAAATTGGCAGGTGGGGTTTGGGCTACAGTGTACTTAGAATGTCCACTATCTGAGTTCACCAATCCGAAAAATCCACTTTGGCGACCCACTGCCTTTAAAGGCAGCCTCCAGGCAAGTCTGGACACATGGGGATCTCACGTGGATAGTAATTTTGGGGCCCTAACTAAGTCACTGCCCAACCGGCAGCTCAAGTAGTGCTCTAGCGGCTGAGATATTCCGCTCGACTGGACCCCGCGATCGTATTTCGCATGGATTCATGGCGCAAAGCGTGAGTCCTGGCGCGAAACTGCCATGAATCCATGCGAAGATCGCGGGGTCCAGTTTTGAGGGGAATACCTCAGCCGTTAGCGCACTACGTGAGGTGCCGCTTGGGCAGTGCCCTAGTTAGGGCCCCAAAAGTACTTTCCATGCAAAATCGCCATAGGTCCAGATCTGCCTGGACGCTGCCTTTAAATAGCTTTCGTTTTCGCCCGCGATGCGAAATGTGATGTCCTGGGGCGAAAACCTGTCGAAATGCCGCTAAATGAAAGATTTCAAACTCAGTGCAGGTTTTTATCCGGTTCTAAAAGTTCCTTCAGCTTTTGCTTCTTGTTTTGCATCTTCTTTACTTCTGTAATTTTCTATAAACACTTTTTATGGGAGCAGCAGATGTTCGAAGAACCTTCACGTTTGAGATCCTACACTATTGGAAGCTACGCTGTGGTTAGTCTGTGTTCTTTCACTTTCTGTTGTTCAGTGTTTTAATCTTATCTATAGTATCATATGCATTTCCTTATTAAGTCATCGGTACGATTTAAATTGGCGGACGACACATCGTAGGCAATGTGTCTACATACATATAGGCTGCTGCATGACGAAGGCGCAATATCTTTGGGCGCGAATGCGGTTTCTTTAGCCGCGGAGCGAATGGGGCGCAGGATTTACAACAGTGCAAATACAGTCTGCCCCAATCCCAAACAGGCCAAAATTGGCATGGCGGGAAACCGCGTCGCTAGGGTTTCGCAGTCACGCCCACGGCCTGCTTCTCTGCTCTCTCTGCAATCCTTTTGCTCTCTCCGACAGCGCGCTTATGCAGCGCAGACCGCTAGCGCTGCGAGCGCGCAAATTCATGCCGACGGTTCGGCCTGATCCCAGTTGGAGCAGACTGTACGCGCGCGCAACGTTCGCGCCCGCTCAAATAATATTGCTTGTGCGCCTTCGTCATGCAGCAGCCTTATGTGCCTTAATTTTCAAGAAAACGCGTAAGTTTAAATTTCGTCTTCTCAGTGTGATTTATTATGAGTTTTGGATCTCAACACATGTATTCTCTTTTTTCGCTCTTCTAAAGTCAAAAGAATGAGGACCGACTGCAATTTTTTTTTGTAACTTCTTTGACTTGCTATTTCTTCACAGTGCTGACCTATATTTGCTGACAAGTGACACCCGTCTTGCAAAGCGGCTGTAAAAAACATTATTCTCGTCTGCTACTACGATGTTAATGACGTCTTGAGATATATACGCTCACCTTGTCCTTGTCAAGTTTTTGTTTTGCCATACCGTTTATTGTAAGAAATAATTCCTCAATACCCTTCTATGCTTAGCAAATCACGTGTGGCCGATTTTGACTCACTCAAGCAGATAACCAGGTTTTGTTCGCTACGACGGCGCAAGGGCTTGATTTATTGGGGATACAGGAAATGTGGCAAACAGTCTATAGGGCTCCTAAATTGCAGAGTCGTTTGCACCAGCGGTCGCGCGAACACGTCGCGCCCGGGCATTTTGCCGGCGCCGGCGCCATCGATCGAGGCGGCACCATTGATGTCCGGGCGCGACGCGGTCGCTCGACCGCTGGTGCAAACGACTCTGCAGTTTAGGAGCCCTATACGTACAATTCGGAGCAACGAAGCCGCGCCGCCGCACTTGGTCGCAGCTTTCGCATTGGCTGCATGGATGAATTAACTCAGGTAGTTAGTCTAAGCCAGTTACAGCAATCAACTTACCTATTTTTATTCGCCTTTGTTTACATTGTCCTCTTACTTAGCTTTACCGTTTTCTTTACTATTTCCAAGGTGTCGTGTTGTAGAAAATTCTCGTCTTCCAAAAATTTAACTCCGTGACCTAGCTAGCCATGCGCAAATTCGTACTGCGCTTGAAAGGTCATTTTCTTAGAGCATACTTCGACATTGACAACATGCCCATAACAAAACCATTGCGCATCTTTGGAAATCTTGGCTTTCGCTTTCTCCCTTTCTTCCACACATTTTAGAACTACAATGCAGATGATTTTCTGTGGAGCTTGCATTCTTCAGCTATTCAAATTCAACGTCCAAATTTGTTCAGTTTGCACAGCTTATCGAATGCTGCTGCTGACTTTGAAAAATTTTGTTTACTCCACCTACATTTTGCTTCCCCCTTACCATTTTTGCGGTGCTAGTCTTTTGCATCCGCATAAGTTTTACAGAAGTCCTTACAGTACGAGGACATCTCAACATTTTCCATTGACGTCAATGTTACTCCTTCTCTGTTTGTTTGACAACTAATCCCTAACATAACCTTTGACTTGTTTCAGTCGGAAAAGAAAAGAGATGCGAATTTTTTCCTGCGATGATCACATTGCCTAGACAACGAACAGGAATTGTTGGACATATGTTTGCCAAATGTCTGCTCTACCAGAATACAAGTAGGCATCGGAAGTTCTTTGTTTTCTACAATTTCTTCATAATCTGTCTCAATTCATTTATTATTCATGAAGTGCTTTTTCTTCACTCTGTTTATCTATGATCTTCGCTCAAGACTATGGTATATCTTTTAGCACGCACTCGAGTCCCATTATGCTATTGGCAGCCTACGAACACATAAACAAGTTGTTTAGGTTTATTATTGGCAGCCACCATTGGTATGCATATAAGATTGCGTGCAGGTATTTTGACAAGATGTTGTTGGAACAAAGTAAGACTCAGAAACATCAAAGGCTTTGCATAACTACCAGGGTAGGAAGGCTACTGACATTGCTTCGGATTCTTTTTGAAGTTGCTTATCTTGACATTAGAACAGCCAGATGGTTTTTTCACATTCTTCTTATCAGCATTGGTACCGTTGTCAGTTGAGTGTCAAATACTGGTCGCTGCAGCATTTGTTTTGTTTGCCTTGAACTTAACAATATCTTGTCAAAGCTCTGGATTAAGTCTCGGCAGTTGAACTAATGTACACGGTTTGTATTTGCTTGAAACTAATTGAAATATAGTATCTGAAACACTTACCTCAAATAGAAAGTTTCAGACAGTGCAATTAGCATCTGTGATGAAGAAAAAATTGAATGCCCAAGCAAGCATCACGCGGAATTTGGCTAGTATCTAGCAATCGCGATTTTTTGCAAAATGCAGTCGCAGGTGAATAAAGATTTCAGGGAAGCGCCATTACTCCCGCTTGTTTGCACTTTGCAATGTGAGATTTCACCTGTCATCTCTATTCACTGTCATGCACAAACCTGTTCCTCGCCCTCAAAAACATTTATTGTCATATCGTTGGTTACGTTTATATCCTTTGCACCAATCACTGATTTGATGCTTCGGAACAGTGTATCGTTCTAATTCCGTCCACATACTTCCGTTTCTTATCAGCCGCGCTGAACTTCGCAGAAATTGGGTTTGCCTTTTTTCGAGCAAATAACAATCTAAAATTCATAAGCTAGCTAGACTCATGGTCTACAAAACAACTCAAGTGAAGCTTGACTGCATCTGTCGCTAATGCCAACAATCATGTCTTCATGCTATAGCATGCGAGCTCATAATTGCTCTCGAAATCGGATGCATATTTCTTGAAATTGTATGGCATACAGCCCATATCGGCTCATATTTCCTAGAAAGACTTTCTTGTAGCTGAACGTCGCTTTAGTTTTTTGTGTTTCCTGCTTTATTTTTTCGTTAGGCCTCGGGCAAAGTTCACGCGATTTCAACGCCGCGATTCTTCCAACAAGACAAACCGTTACGAGTCCATTGTATATCGATCATCTTGCATTTTGGCTGTGATAGTTAGCACGATTGGTCGAGTTGGAGAACTATCACAGCCGAAATGCAAGATGATCGACATGCAATGGACTGGTAACGGTTTGTCTTGTTGGAAGAATCGCGGAGATGAAATCGGGCGAACTCTGCCCGAGCCTTAGAGCACTTTCCGCAGTTGTAAATCACAGCCCTTCAAATCTGGATATTTCTACCATTTATCGCATATGTTGTTATCTTTTTTTACGTGCCAAGGTTACTTTTTCTGTGATCGTGCCATTTCGAACTCCAGTTAAGCGTTATAACGCTGTATCCGATTTGAGAATGCTTCATCAACTCCTCTTTCAGATATTTTGCTCGTAAATCGCAGGCGAAGGATATCAGCATTCAAATTTTTCACACGCTGCTAAATATTCTGTATTCCTGACTGTCACATCATGATGAATGCAACATTTCCCGGAGATTATGGCACACCTCCAGGCACAATCCATACAGTCATTGAGAGAAGATCTACAGAAAGAAAATGTGAGTTCAGAGTTGTCTTCAGCTTGCTTTGAGTTTATTTCATAATAACCCAAGCATGCTCTGATATAATTTGTAAACAGTCTTGTCAACACTTCCATTATCTCGCACGAAAAATCTCTCGCCTTTGCGCGGAATATGGCACGACTATTCATTTGACTAATTGCTGTGATGTGCCTCTGTTGGCAGCGATGTGAAAAACCTTGCACTTTACGAATCCTCTCATAAATTCATCATTCCAAAAGCATTTATGGCTTCTTCGGGCATATGGTTGTTGTCAAATCTTCTCTCAGTCGCTCTCTCCTTCCTACTTCGGGAAACTGCTGCTTTACCTAGGCATTTGATTAATTCACTCTCCTTGCTTTGCGCTTCATAACAGATACTTTGTAGAAGCTACCACCTTTCTCATACAAAGATTTTGTATTTCATTTATATTTCACTGTTGCTAAGCTTACAAGTTGGGATACACACCTTTTCTGCGTATTTGACTTTTGAAAATGTTATGATGAGTACCAGCTCTCTGAGGGCTCATGGGGCTTATGGTCTCTGCGATTTCATTCATGACAGTTTTTAACTCGCGAGTATATGGAACCTTTCCTTTACAGAACTCTGAGATGAATTGAAATGCGGGGTTAGAATCACAAATTGTAAAGAAAGAAACGATTATTGGAGTCGCACTTTCCTCAAAAAGTGTGTTCTGCTGCTGTAACAGTTCAGGAACCTAAAACGGTGTGGAACTGCACGCGTAGCATTGAAGCTTTCCAACTAGAATGAATCTCACAGGCTTTTAAATTACCCTCATTCTTCGTTAGTGTGTCCGCAAATGTCTCTGATATTTTGTCTGTGTTTATTTTGTGTGCGTCGATCAAGCAGCCGCCTTCAGACATCATCGTCTTAGAATTTAAGACGCTTATGGGTACCAGTTCCTGGGAATTTGCTCATGTGTGGTTTTCCAAATTATCGAAGATAAAAACGGCGTACTTGTCGAAGAAGCACGTGCTTTTTCATTGTAGAGTAAGTCCCAAAAAGTTAAGTTGTATATCAAATAAGCTTATCGCGCACATCGCAACGTAAGAATGCCGAAACTGCTTTCCCTGCGCAAAGTCAGTTAATGCAAATGAGAATGGTGAAAGACGACGCCAAACGAAAATGCTTGTAATCTGACACCGCCAAGTTTTTGTCCGCGCCCCGTTAATGTAAAGCGTTGGCGAATTATAAACGTTTCTTGTCCAGGCTGGTTTGATGTAAAAGTATGAGTGGCTTCCTCTGCGACGGGAACGAATTTCGCATGAATCTTCATTTTAAGCTAGGTTGTCATGACTTATAATAAGCCGCTTATTCGTCGGTCTGTAAGTCTGTCTGTTACGAAAATACAGTGAGGAATGATAATTCTTTGGAGCATGTGAGGTTCTGATAGCGAGTATGGATCACTTTTAATTAGGACTCACTCACCGCAGTCAACCTGGCAATAATCTAAAAGAAAGCCTTCACATCGTAAGTTTCTTACGTAACCTTTTTTTTTTCTCAATCCAACATTCTAAGCCAAATTTCAAGAGCATTGCAAAATCACAGCTGTGTACTCAAAAGTTAAATACCTAATCCCTTATCTGTAGTTTTGACGAAAATCATTTATGGTCGGGTGTAATTTTGCATTTTGTGATGTTCTCAGGCGGTCGTTGTTGTTCATTCCTATCGCACAGCTCAGGCTCATCAAGTATGCATCCACCGATTAGTTTGTCTTTTTTTTCATTTGTCATCTTAAACTTGTTCTGCAGTGCGCGTTCACACCATCTTAGCACCATTCTTGTATTTTCGACTGTTTTAATTGTATCGGGTTGCTGAAATGTGCCACAAAAACAGTTGTTGAGCGGTTTAACGAGCGTGGAACGGTTCGTAATCGCCGTTTTGTTCGCTAAATTGTTCTATTGTTTCAAAATTAGCTGAGTTGCGAAGTGTTAATTTATGATATGATACCTAAAGTCAAATTTTTTATATTGACATACGCTTGAAAATTGCCACAGCTCATGTAAAAATAGGTACCTCCTTCAGTGAATATCACCGTTTTGCTACCCCCTCCCAGGATTCGCAAGAAGACTTGGGGTCCCAGTTGCTTTGTAGACTTCTTCTTTACTCTTCTACTCAAACTGAAGTTTGATTACTGTATTTGAAGCCGTTCTTTGAACTTGATATATAGCATTTGCAATACAGATATGTGGAAGCTTCCATCGTGTTCTTAGCCGCTTTCTTTCAACTTTTTCCAATCGGCTTTTGCCGTGGAACTGGTTCTGTTCTGCTTTAAGTAGCTGCGAAGTTTATTTATGTTCGAAAAAAGTACGAGTGCTGTTCTTCACCGTTCCGTTTCCGCTGATGCAGATCGAAGACCTGAACCTGAGAATTTTTTTCATGACGTCTCTTTCTTTTGTGATTTACGTTATTGGCACTTTCTAACGTCTCACTGGTGTCTTTTCTGATCACAGCTCGATAATGATATGAATGTGTAAGGTGAGTTTGGCATTGTTTTTTTTTCATGAATATGTGAGAAACCGCAGGCATGTTGATTGACACTGGAAAGTCATCAGTTTTTGGAGCCGGATCTTTTGTCCCATAGAAAAGTAGTTCAATTGCTACAAATTGATGCCATACAGGGTATACCAAAAAATGTGCACACTGATCGATTGTCGAAATCATCACCTTTGCGCTGATGTCTTTTGCCGCTTCTAGGTTCGAGCGGGCTTCAACTTAGAAGTAGTATGGAGCAAGTCACCGATCGCTCATTCTTTTTTGATGATATATTTTACGTCTCTGACAAGGGAAGGATACTTGGTCGAAGTGCAGTTTTTATATGAGATGTGTACTGTCTTATAGAGCATGGAACGCTGATTCCAAATCTGCTTTCGGCATCTGCAAAGCGCTTTTGGGATGGGAGTATCAGGGTTTTTGTGAAGCAAAAATTCGGAGTTTTGGTCAAGGTAAAAATGAGTGTTGAGATCTTTCCGGCGCTTGAATGGAGTAACGTTTAGCTCAAATATTAGACTGAAGCTATCAAACTGCACGAAGCGCCCTGGCAATAATCATGCTCTCCTCCAAGCTCAAAGACTACAGTTCCGAATGATTTTGATATAGCTGCGTCTCGAAATTTTTGCGTCAAAAAATTTCCCAACTCCCTTCCCAGAAGCGCTTTGCGGATACCGAAAACGGATTCGGAATCAGCGTTCCATGCGCTATAAATAAGTATACATTTCATATGGTTCTCCACTTCTACCGAGTATCCTTCCCCTGTGAATTACACTGAAGGAGCAGCTGTTACAGCCCAAATCTTTGGCATAACTTTTGAAAGATATTTCTGAGTGTGACGTTTATATTCACAAACAGCGGCTCTTTTTAGTCTGGTATGAGAAGTTGTTAGCTCTCTTGGTTCTCATTCTAGGCTCAAAATGTTGCTTTTGATATTCCAAATTTCTTTCCTAAGTTCCTATCTTAATTCTACAGTAACGAAGAGCGATCGATGATCCACTTTGTACTATAAGTCCAAGTTGAAGCCAGCTCTACAGAATGGGTACCTAAAGTGGCGAAAGACATCAAAGCAAGATAGTTAAGGATCAGACAGCGCACAATTTTGGGACACCCTATATGTCGTTACCGCAGTATGTTACTGCACTTCTGCAGAAGTCAGATCCACTAGGTGCTATATTCCAAGAGACACCGTAAGGCCCGAGCAGAGTTCACGCGATTTGATCGTCGCGATTCTTCCAACAAGACAAACCGTAAGAGTCTATTGCATGTCGATCATCTTGCATTTCGGCTGTGATAGTTTGTCACTATTGGTCGGGCGGAGAACTATCACAACCGAAATGCAAGATGATCAGCATGCGATAGACTCGTAACTGTTTGTTTTGTTGGGGGAATCGCGGCGGTGAAATCGCGCGAACTCTGCCCGAGGTCTAAATCAGAAATTACGATTTTTTGTCTCTCCTATACTTCGACGCAAATGCTGCTTATTCGTTTTTGAAGCATGCAAACAGTGCCCAATTAGTGGCTTAAAGTCACTGCTCGAGTGGCAGCTGATATGAATTATTCTAGGCTGAATTCACTCCAAAATCATCTGGTACTATAAATTCGAGAGCCGACCAATTTCAACTTGAATTTGGTGGCCATGAATGAACGCTCTGGGCTGAGGTCTGGGCAGTGGCTTAGTTAACATCTCCCATTCGGTATCCACATAAAAAGTCTAGGTGCGACTTGCCTCGGCACTGCTTACTGAAGCTGAGGTTTCTTCCATGTTGCTTTTCAGCGCATGCCAGCAAATTTGACGAGTTCTGCTTTCTAGAAATCATTCAAATCCATGACAGCAAACACATCCGCTACGCAAGTCTCTTTCCACACTTGTACCGAACATGCTTGATTGCGGGCAAATCCATGCCTTATGTGCACTAAACAATCAAACAACGTCCACTACTGGACAATCTTGTTCTACTGTATGACCAGTGATGGCAGGAAAAACTCCCTTGATGCGACGTAGAACTAGTCGTGGTACTTGTAGGACTTGCAGCGCTTGTGCAGCGCTCGAAAAGCAGGTTGTAGCGACGTTTTTAGCCATCGCCTAGTGATGTTTTGTAGAATCGTAGAACAGTGACTTCTAGTCTTTGGATAGGTGATTGGTTGATGTGTGTGACTATTTGGCTAATGTTTGCTAATTCTATTCCCACGGCTTCATAATTTGGGAAGGGGCAATTCTGGCTCGATTCAGTTTGAGCTACCGTGGAGACTAGGCTGACTTAAGCTTGCTGTAAATGTTGTGTCCATTTCCGCCTGATCTCTTCCTTTTTTTCCTTTTTTTTGCTGTAAATTCCAGTCCCAGTCACGGATTCGGAAAAGAGTATCAAGAATTAGAAGAACTTTTAATCGGTGTTCTGTAGGTTCACTATTTCTCTGCATTCCAAGTATGTCATATGACCCGAAGTGTTTGACTTGTCTGCCATAAGTTTACTCTATAATATTCACAT